AGTGGATTGAGCGCAGGCTGCGAACCAAAGTGTTTGCAGGTTCGATTCCCAGTCAGGGTACATGCCTGGGTTGTGGGCCAGGTCCCCAGTTGGGGGCACACGAGAGCAAATCACACATTGATGTCTCTCCCTTTCTTTCTCCCTCCCTTCCCATCCCCCTAAAATAAATAAATAAAATTAAAATAAATAAATAAAATTAAAATAAATAAATAAATAAATAAAATCTTTAAAATAAGGATGGCTGGTGTGGCTCAGTGGGTTGAGTGCCAGCCTGAGAACCAAAAAATCATAGGTTCAACTCTCTGTCAGGGCACATACCTAGGTTGTGGGCCTCGTCCCCAGTTGGGGGCATGCAAAAGGCAACTGATTGATGTTTCTTTCACACTGATGTTTCTCTCCTTCTTTCTCCTTTTCCCTCTCTCTGAAAATAAATAAAATATTTTAAAAATAAAGATAAGGTTGCGGGTTTGATCCCTGGTTAGGACACATATAAGAAGCAACCAGTAAGTGAATAAACGGAACAATAGATGCTTCTCTCTCCACCCTGCCTTCAAATAATAATAATAGTAATAAGACTGTTTCCTTGCCTGCCAGGAAGCTGAAGATGAGCTCACAAGTCATTTCGCAAATCCATGACCTATTTCACAATTCTTCCCTTGAGCAGAACCTGGTGAGAGAAATGTCAAGAAGCATTGTGGTGAAAGGCACAATGCTTTCAACCAAAGGCATTTGAGCTTTAAGAAGCCAACAGGTGTAGTCATTCTGTCCCTGCAAAAGGCCATAGCGAACTATCTTTAGCCTGGAACATGGCCCAAACTGCTGGGAGATTATTGTTTGGCTGGGGAAATGTCAGAGATGGTCTGGGCTGATAGGTTGTTACACCCTCTCCTTCCCTCCATAGCGTGCTATGGGAGGGGCATTGTTTTCCTCAGGCAGGCTGGGAACTGTGCTCATCCTCATTGGAGTGGATTCCTCCTGGCAACTACCATGTATATTGGTTCTTGGAAGCTCAACAGAAAAGTGGTACTTATAGTTATTCAGTAACTTAAGATTGATATGTGAGCACCCAGTGACAATATTCTTTCTTTAGTGATCACAGCTGGCCCATCCTCAAATGGCAGAAGTGGCACCCTATCAGCAGATCTGAGAGGGTAGCTTCCCCATCTAAAATATCCACCCCTTCACCTGTCACTGCACCATGACAGCTTAATTCGTCAGGGTCTCTAAGGAGGCTTTGCTGCTTCTAAAGACATTCTGCTTCTATTGACATTCCAATGCCTCCAGAAAGAGCATTTTAGCAGGGATTAGTAACAGGAAGAAATAAATTCCTTAGCCTAGCAGTCAAGACACTATACAATCAGATGTTACCTCTATAATTTTATCGCCAAAGAACTCCTTTCAGCCAGACTGGTCTTTTAGCCTACGCTGCATTTACTGTTCACACAATTTCCTCTGTCTAGCATTCCTGCCTGCCTGAAATATCTGGCCACCCATTTTCCCCTAGTCTGTCTCTCTTCCATTTTTCAGTGGCCATTTACTTATCACCTACTACAGTGAAGCACTATATCTGGGATTTTTACTGTTCACAACACCCAGAACAGAGAACAGAACTGGGCACATAATGGGCATACAATAAACTGCAGGTCAAAGTCACGTACTATTCCTTCTATGTCTAGAATTCGCCAAGTTCTATTTTTGATATGCAGGTGGGTATATATTAGTTTCTACATACCCCTTGCAAGCAAATGTAAAACAGAGACTTTTCTAAGATAACTACTGAAGGCATTGGTTTTCATTTTGTTTATTTATTTAAAGATTTTATTTATTTGTTTTTAGAGAGAGAGAGAAATGGACAGAGAGAAACATTGATCAGTTGCCTCTCATATGCTCCTAACTGGGGAACTGGCCCACAACCCAGGCATGTGCCCTAACCACCCTGACTGGGAATTGAACTGGCAATACTTCAGTTCGCAGGCTGGCGCTCAATCCACTGAGCCACACCAGCCAGGGCCGATTTTCATTTTAAAAATATTTAATAAGTAGGCTTACTATGGGCAAGATCCTGTATTAGAAATACAGGCATGAAAAGACATAGTTCCACATCAAGAAGCTTATAGTGTAGTGCAGGAGAGACAAGCAAAAATACTAATAATGCTAAAGAAAATAAACACTATGTATGGAGTCAGGGGGACATGGGTTTGAATCCTGACTTTGAAATCTGGTAGCAGTACGATTTGAAATTAACTTTCTGAGATATGATGATGATGATGATGATGATACTTCAGAGTTGCTGTGGAAAAGTAATTTGTATAAAACATTTTGCACTGGGCCTGGCATTTCACATGTCCTCAGTAAATGTTAATTTTTCTTCCTTTCTTTTTAAATCACAAGCATTTAGAGAGTCTCTTCTCTGTGTATCCTGAGAGGCAGATCAAGAGGGGATTTAGCACAAGTACGAGATAATGATTTCCTGTGAATTTATAGTCTGTTTGAATAGCAAGACCCACACATTTGAAGAGTTAATAACTCTTCAATAACTGTGAGACTGGGAAGGGCTGAGATTCCCTGGAAAGGTGGGCCTGGGGAGGGGGCTGTGAAACCTGTGTTGTGGGAAGGTAGATATTTGTGGGGGATCATGACAGTACCAAGTCATTAAGGTCTTGTGATGCAGAAATGGAGGGGCTCCAATGAGTGGAGAGAGAAATAAAGTTGGACAGGTATGATGAACCAGATGATAGAGGGTTTTGAGAAAAGTAGGCAGCATTATTTTCAAAGTACAGTGTTGATTTCTGAACAGAGGAGTGAAATGTTTTAAAAATCTAATTTCTTGCCCTGGCTGGGTAGCTCAGTTGGATAGAGTACATTGTGAGTTTGATCCAGTCAGGACACCTACCAAGATTAACCAATGAATGCATAAATAAATGAAACAACAAATGTGTCTCTGTCTGAATTAATCAATTTCTAAAAACTGTAAGCATTTGAGGGGAACATAAATCAGCCCACAACACCATCCTAGAAATTCAGTCTTTACTGAAAAGTTATATTCGTATATCTTAGATTCCTCTCTTAAAGTATACACCCTTCAGTATCCCAGGTCTAAATATTTTTTTCCCCCGTCTAAATGTTTTATTTAAACATTTTTTAAATCACGAAAGACCTGAGTATTAAAGGTAATTTGAAAATAGGAGTGAAAATTGGAAAATGTTAGCTTTAATCCTATGGTATAAACATGGCCTACATTAATATTCTTTTGGCATATTTTTATAGCCTTTCTTTCCTATACATAGTATTCTTAGTTATGTTTATTCAGCGGTTTGGTATTGGCTTTTTACACCTAACAGTATAAAGCAAGTATTTTCCCATGTTCTGGCATGGGAAGTATTCTTTGTGACTATTATTTATAAATGTTGCATAATATTGGATCTAGTAAGAATGTCACAATTTACCTAACAATTCCTCCATAGTCAGATATGTAACACACTTCCTTTTTTTGCTTTTATAAATAAAGCTGAGAAATGTTCTCTTCTGTGTAACAATTTTTCCATTATTTAAAATTTTTTCCTTAGGGCACTAGAGTTGCTTTCGATCAAGGGTTTTATTATATAATGACATTTTGTTTTCCAAAAGGTTTATACCAATTTATATTTGTAATAGCCAAATAAGAACATGCTTCTTTTACTAAACACTGATTATCATTGGGTAACATCATTATTTTCATTCTTTATTAATTTGATAGGCAAAAATGCATACTGTTATAGTTTTAATTTAAAAATTATAAATGAGGCAAAACTTACTTGTTTGATTAGCTATCTTCCCTCTTTCAGGAATTGTTGGTATGCTTTGTTCATTTATCTAGAAATTTCAGAATTCTCAAAAAGAATAAAATCAAAAACTCCAAACTCAACATTGTAACTGAACTCTTAATCCTCCAGACAATTCTCTGATGTAGTTATTACTATCCCCATTTTGCAGATGAGATAGCTAAGCAAAATGAGATGAAGTATTTTACCTAAATTCATACTCTTAGATACAACTAGAATAGGGGTTGGCAAACTTTTCTTTTAAAGGATTTTATTTATTTTTAGAGAGAGCAGAAGGGAAGGAGGCAGAGAAATATCATTGAGAGAGAAACATTGTTTGCCTCTTGAATGTGCACTGAACAGGGAATTTAATGAGTAACCTCTCACTTTGTGGGGGTGATGCCCAAATGAGCCACACTGGTCAGGGTGGGGTTGGCAAATTTCTGTGTAAAAGGCCAGAATGTTGATATTTTAGGCCTTCTGGGCCACGTGGTTTGAAAAAAAACACACAGCAATTTTGCTATTGTATCGTGAAGGCAGCCATAGATAATACATAAAAATAAGCACGGTGACTTCCAATAGAACTTAATATACACTAAAAATTGAATTTTATGTTTTGTGTATCATGAAATATTCTTTTGACTTTTCGCCGTTAAAAATTTAAGAACCCCTGGCTGGCGTAGCTCAGTGGATTGAGTGCGGGCTGGGAACCAAAGTGTCCCAGGTTCGATTCCCAGCCAGGGTACATTCCTGGGTTGCAGGCCCGAACCCCCAGCAACCGCACATTGATGTTTCTCTCTCTCTCTCTCCCTCCCTTCCCTTTCTAAAAATTAACAAATAAAATCTTAAAAAAAAAAAAATTTAAGAACCATTGTTAGCTAGTGGACTCTAGAAAAACAGGAGGTAGGTTGGATTTTGCTCACAAATTGGGTTGTGCTTTGCAGACCCTTGTTCTAGGATCTAAGTCTTCCTGGATTTCTCTTGAATCCAAGCCTTAACTACTGACTAGGGATATACAAGTACTGATGTTTCTAAATAAAGTTATTCCTGGTAATAATAGTTCCTTATTATTATTTTTTTAAATTTTATTTTTAGAGAGGGGAGAGAGGAAGAAAGGGAAACATCAATGTGTGAGAGATACATAGATAGGTTGGTTGGTGAAAGATTTTTCCACCAAGGAAGAAAATCAAATCAGCCACATAAGGGGGCAAAAACAGGATTTTATTGAGGCTGCACTTCCAGGCGAGGTTCCTGGTCCAGAGAAGTTGCGCCCAGGGTAGAGTGGGAAGATTTTTTTATACATCTAGGTGGGGTAAGGCTTGTCGTGTCTTAGGCAGATTGGGTGCTGTAGTCTCCATGGCAGACTGAGAATGGCCAACCATTTAGGCACTTGTTGCCAGGAATATTTTGGCGATTGCTTAGCTTGCAGTTTTCTTTGGTGCCTGCTGTGGGTGTTAACCTTTTCATATCCTGTCCAACCCACCATTCCGACCTCTTTGATATGATATGGGGTGATGTTTCCTTCCGCCTACTTCCTGCTGACCTGGGGGGCGTCAAGGGGATTGGGGCTCAGAGGCCGGTGGTTCAGTTGGGATAGGAGGATAGGGGTGAAGGAGCATTTGACTGAATGCTACCCGGGAGCCTTCTTGAATTCGTGCCTGTAAAAACTTTACAAAACAGGGACCAAGCATTAGTAGTATGCCTATGATCAGAAGGGGCCCCAGAATTGGGGCCAACCAGGTGGAAAGGTTTTTCCACCACGAGGACAACATGGTTTGGGAATTTTCCCGGCGGAGTCTGTCCTGTATATTTCGTAATTTGTTGATGTTTTTTTGTACTATATCGCTCTCGTTTAGGTAGAAGCAGCACCGCTTCTGTCTCTGCAGAGAGGCCAACGAGGTAACTGAGGAATCAAGGGCCTTTTCCAGTTTAGGCCGTGGGCTGGCTAGTATCGTCTGGTTAAGGAGAGGAAGGAGGAGAAGAGTGGCCCAAAGGGGAGTCATGGTGGGAAGCTGGGCTCTGGGTAAAACAGATCCTGGTGTTTCCCAGGATTTTGGCCGACCACTCGCTGCTAGCCGGGGCTAGTTTAAGGCAGGAGACATGAACCCAAGAGGGAAGGCCTAAAAGCTTGGCTGCTGTAGGGGTGGTGAGTATTACTGTATGGGGTCCCGTCCACTTAGGCTGGAGTGGTCTGGTCTTCAGTTCCCTGAGCACTACCTGGTCCCCTGGTTGGAGAGGAATTGTGTGGTCTGCTTCTTGTGGTCCTCCTACTGGCGGGAGGGTTCGGTCAGCATATTCTCTAAGGAGATGTTTTAGGAGGGAAAGGTAGGGCAGGTAGGAGGCCAGAGGTGGAGGAGAAACAGGTAAATTATTGTTGATTAGAAAAGGCCTACCATAGAGCAGTTCAAACAGGCTTAATCCTAACAGCTCCCTAGGGGCAGCTCTGATTCTAGCTAGGACGAATGGGAGGAGTGTAGGCCAAGAGTTTTTTGTTTCTAAGGTACTTTTGGTTAGGTGTGACTTGAGAATCCCATTGGTGTGTTCAACTTTCCCTGATGACTGAGGATGGTATGGGATGTGAAGCTTCCAGGTGATGCCCAGCGAGGTGGAAACTTGTTGCACAACCTGGGAGACGCAGACAGGGCCGTTGTCTGACTGGATGGAGGCAGGCAACCCGAAGCGCGGGACAATGTGCTCGATGAGGAGAGCAGCAACTGTATCAGCTGTTTCCCGAGTGGTAGGGTAGGCTTCTATCCAGCCTGAAAAGGTATCAACGAATGTTAAGAGATAACGGTATTTCTTGTGTGGAGGCATGTGAGTGAAGTTGATTTGCCAGTCCTGGCCAGGGAGATGTCCTCTTATCTGGTGAGTTGGAAACCGGGGTTTAAGGCCTCCCTGGGTTGACGTTTTAGAGCAGACCAAGCATTTAGCATGCACCTGCTTGATGGACTGGAGAAGATTTGGGAAGGAGAAGAGGGGACCTAGGAACTTGAACAGAGCCTTGGGGCCAATGTGCAGTGACTGGTGGATTTCTGAGAGGAGGGGAACAGCCTGCTGCTGGGGAATGGCAATTTTTCCACTGAGGAAGATCCAACCTCTGCTGCCAATGCGGCCACCCTGGGCTTACAGGGAAGAGTATTCCTGAGGAGTATAGGAAGGAGGTACTGGGGTGGACAGGAAGAGTAGGGAGAAGCTCCAGTGGTCAGTTTTCGTGCTGCGGCATCAGCTCGGGCATTGCCCTGGGAGACGGGGTCTCGTGAGGTTTGATGCCCCTTGCAGTGAACAACAGCTACTTCCGCAGGTAACTTTAAAGCTTGGAGGAGTTCAGAGATTAGCGATGCATTAATGATGGGATAGTCTTTAGATGTGAGGAACCCATGTTCCTTCCAGAGAGTAGACTGACTGTGAACTATGAGAAAGGCGTATTAGGAGTCTGTGTAGATGGTTATTCACATTTCATTTTTTTAAACCAGAGAGAGAGCTTGGGTGAGAGCGATGAGCTCTGCTTTTTGTGAGGTGGTGCCCTCAGGCAGTGGTTGTGCTTCTAGAGTGGAAGCAAGGGTGACCACCGCATAGGCCGCCCTCTGCCTTCCGTCGGCCCCCACCACAGAACTGCCATCGACGAACAGAGTGAGGTCAGCATTGGGGAGTGGAATATCAGACACCCTGTCTAGGGGATGCCTGAGAAATTCAAGAACTTCGGGACAAGAGTGAGTGGGTTCAGGATTGATGGTAGGCGCTGGTAAGAGGGTGACCAGGTTGAGCCTAGGGGAGAGGCGAAGGAATAAAGCGGTACTCTCTATAAACAGAAGGTGCAGCTCTTGGAGGCGTGAAGGGCTCAGTAGTGAGAAAGCCTGGTGTGAGAGCAGATCAGGAAGGTGGTGGGGTGAGAAAATGACCGCCGGCTGGCAGAGAGTCAGCTTGAGGGCCTCCTGGCCTAACTCTGCGGCACTACCCAGGGCACGGAGACATGGCTGCCACCCCTGTAAGGTTGGATCCAGCTGCTTGGAGAGGTAAGCAACTGGACAGTAGGAGGGGCCAACAGGTTGGGCCAGGACACCAATTGCTATGCCTTGGCGTTGGTCGGTGAAAAGGTGAAATGGACGGGTGGGATTGGGAAGGCTTAGAGAGGGGGCCTGCAGGAGTGTGTCCTGTAACGTGGTGAAGGCTTTCTCTACCAGCTTGGGAGAAGTTAGGGGTCCCATAGGAGTTTCTTTTGCAGCGTTGTACAGGGGCTTGGCCAAGAGGGCAAAGCTGGGAACCCAGTGCCTGAAGAACCCCACTAATCCCAAGAAGGAGAGAATCTGATCTCCATTGGTAGGGGGTTGGAGCTCATGGAGGAGGCGAGTGCAGTCTGCAGTGAGACTCCATGTGGTAGGGGTTATGGAGAGACCTAAGTAGGTGATGGTCTGTGTGGAAATCTGAGCCTTGATGGGGGAAACCCGAAATCCTTTGCTAAAAAGTTAAGAAGGAGGGCTGTGCATTGTTGAGACTCTGGTAATGAGGGACTGCACAGGAGGAGGTCATCTACATACTGGAGGACAGTGCTTGAGCCTAAGTTGCAGGCAGCAAGATCCCGGGCAAGAGCCTGCTCAAAGAGATGGGGGCTGTCTCTAAAGCCTTGGGGAAGGACTGTCCATGTCAGTTGTTGTGAGAGGTTGGTGTCGGGGTCAGTCCGGGTAAAGGCAAAAAGAAAATATGAATCCTGGTGGAGGGGGTTAGTAAAGAAGGCATCTTTGAGGTCCAGAACAGAGAAATGGGTGGCGGTAGGCAGGATGCGGGAGAGGAGAGTGTAGGGGTTAGGGACCACCGGGTGGATAGGGACTACTGCTTCATTAATGAGCCTTAGGTCTTGGACTAACCGGTACGCTCCTGAGGGTTTCCAAACTGGAAGAATTGGGGTGTTACATGGGGAGTTGGCCAGAATTAACAGTCCCTGCCCCATAAGGCTGGAGATGATAGGTTTGAGACCTCTACGATGGGTTTCAGAGATTGGCAACTGGGGTCTAGAAGGAAAGATGGTGGGGTTTTTCAGCGTGATGGTGACTGGGGTGTGGTGAGAGGCCACAACAGGCATGGAGGTGTCCCATAGCTGAGGGTTGACTAGGGTGGGTAAGATTGGAGGTTGGGTTAATGGGGTAGGGTCTTCGAGCAAAGGAAGGAGAAGGTGAGAGGAGGGGTTTAGGCTGGCTGTGACCTGTAAGGACGCCCCTAGGAGCTACAAGATGTCTCTTCCTAGGAGTGGAATGGGGCAGGAGGGTATAACTAAGAAGGAGTGTGTGAAGGGGACATTATCAGGGCTGCAGGTTTAGAGGGGCATGAAGGTTCGGGGGTGCTCCTGGCCAAGAGGACCTGGGTTGTGGAGCACGGACAGGAGTGCAGTGCAGCACCCAGGAACCCTGAATATAGGGGACCTCAGACCATTTGCCAGTTCGTTTGCAGAAATTTTCTAGATCAGTAAGGGTGGCAAAATCGAAAGTCCCATCAGGAGGCCAGGTCTTGCGGTTATCTAAAGGATATAATGGCCAGGCCGTGGCGGACAGGAAGATTAACCATTTTTGTTTTAGACTTGGGTCAATTATGGGCAATTTTTTCAGGAGACACCCTAAGGGTGTCTTGGGATTTATTTTGGACTCCTGTCCTCCCATATTCCCTGGCCCCACGGAGATTGGGGATTGAAAATTGGTTGTCTGCAGATTGATCAATCCACCAACCTTTCAGGCAGGCTGGGGTTCAGTGCCCGGGATGTCTCCACTGGCAGTTACCCAGAAGTGGAGAGCAGTCTCTCCACGGATCGGGTTACCCCGATGCAGCTGCGATTTCCAGACGGGGGCCCACAGTCAGAATTGAGTCAGGGAAGAAGGGAAGAGGGACACTTACCCTGGCTGTCCGGACCGGTGGAGCGGCCACAGAGGCTTTTCTCGGGGAGATGGGGAGGAGCGGCCCCCGTGGACAACTCCTCTTGGGTTTCGGCACCAAAATGTAAGATTTTTCCACTGAGGAAGAAAATCAAATCAGCCACAAAGAGGGCAAAAACAGGATTTTATTGGGGCTGTGCTTCCGGGTGAGGTTCTCTGGTCCAGAGTACCGGGGGCCAGAGAAGTTGCACCCAGGGTAGAGCGGGAAGATTTTCTATACATCTGGGTGGGGTAAGGCTTGTTATGTTTTAGGCGGATTGGGCACTGTGGTCTCCATGGCAGACCGAGAATGATTGACCACTTAGGCACTTGTTGCCAGGAAGATTTTGGCAGTTGCTTAGCTTGCAGTTTTCTTTGTTTGGCACCTGCCGTGGGAGTTAACCTTTTCATATCCTGTCCAACCCAACAGTTTCCTCTAACACGTCCCCAACTGGGGTCCTGGCGCGCAACTCAGGCATGTGCCTTCACTGGGAATTGAACTGGCAACCTTTTGGTTTTTAGGCCGGCACTCAACTCACTGAGCCACACTATCCAGGGCTAAATTTTGTATTTTATTAAGTTTATTGGGGTGGCTTTGGTTCATAGGGTCATATAGGTTTCAGGTATACGCTGTATGATACATGAATCTGCATATTGCATTGTATGCCCATTGCCCAAAGCCAAATCCTTATTATTTTTTAAAAATATATTTTTAAAAGATTCTATTTAATTTTTTTTTTAGAGAAAGGGGAAGGAAAGGAGAGAAAAGGAAACATAAATGTGTGGGTGCCTCTCATGCACCCCACCACTGGGGACCCAGCTCACAACCCAGGCATGTTCCCTGACTGGGAGTCGAACTGGTCACCCTTTGGTTAACAGGCCAGCACTCAATCCACTGAGTCACACCAGCCGGAAGATTAAGAAAAACAGCAACTACAGCAACAACAACAACTCACAGACACAGACAACAGTATGGTGATTGCCAGAGGGAAAGCTGGGTTGGGGGTAGGTGGAAGGAGGGTAAAGGGCCCTGACAGGTGTGGCTCAGTTAGCTGTGCATCTTCCAGCAAAGGGAGGGGCTGTCAGTTCCATTATGGGTTGGGGCCCTTGCCTGAGTTTGGCTTTTTTTATTGGGTGGGGGTGCATAGAAGAGGCAGTGGATCCATGTTTATCCCCCCCCCAAAAACCTATAATTTTTTAAACCAATATTACCTTAATAAATAAAAACAAAACAAAACACCCCAAACACCAGTACCTCTTCCATGTAAAAAATTAAAACAGTGCAGATTAGGTTGATTATAGTCCTTTGACCAGGGTCCTGAATCACAAATCATCTTTCCTATTCTTAAGGAACAGCAACAACATGTAATCAGGTTTGTATATACCCTTTCAGAATTGTTTTCTTGTGCTCTTTCCATTAAGTTTTTGCCTCTCAGGGGCAGTTGTTATCTTTTACTCTCCCACAGACTTCTGTAAAGCAGGAATATAATGAAGACTACTGAGCAGACTCAATCCTAGCTCACTGTCAAAAGGGGAGAGATAAGATACATCTGTACACGAATGGTCATAAATTCTATCTGTTAAAGGCACAGTCTGATCATTCTTTGATCAATTCAGATGAATAACAAAGGCCTCCCCCAATTGAGCAGGGCTGTGATCCCGCAATTGAACCTACAACTAGTCTAATAGTAACTAGCAAGTTAATCTGTAATTAGTATAGTGCCTTGCACAAAGATCAGTATGTTAATTCCCTACCCATCTTACTTACACCTGTTATGTCTAAAGTATTACAGAACAACAAGGGGGGCCTGGGATGATATACTATTACTGAAAGAAAACCCCAGGTCCATTACGTCCACCGTCTATAGGAAAGATGTCTCTCAATGCCAGAGATTTGTGAAAAGGAAAGGAAATGTTTATTTAATGCTATACAAACTTAAAGTAGTGACCTAATGTCATAAAAAACCCTCAAGTCCCTTAAAACACCCACAAACAGACAACAGTACTTCCTTCCCCCTTTGTCCAACCCAGAGTACCATATCTCAGGAAAGGAAATAGAAGTCCATGGCTCAGGCAGTCCTCTGGTTATTCCCAGGCAGTACTCTGCTTGACTGGGAGACCTACCTGGGTTCCTGGCACCCTCAGCTGTGTCACCGGGATCTCTGCTAAAACTGGGTGGTGGTTCTCCCTTCTAAAGCTGTAGGGGTCCCCACTCTGGCAAAGGTACGTGGTCCTCTGTCTCAGGGCCACAGGAGTCCCCACTCAGCCAAAACTGTGTGCTTCTCTCCCTGCACAATGGCTGCAAGGAGCGGGGTCGCCACTCTGCCAAAGCCAAGGGGCAGTTTTCTGCTAAAGCCACGGGGTGATTCTCTCTCGCAGGCCTGCAGGAGCCTCCACTTTGCTAAAGACGCATGGTTCTCCCCTCAATGGCTGCTGTGTCTGGGTTTAAATCCCCGCGCGTCTTCCTCTGCAGCCCCATTTCCGACTCCTCCCACACTCGGCCTCACATGCCAGAACTCAAAGCCTTCCAGCTTTAGTGGGCTGCCATCATGAGTCTGGGCAGGCGTGGCCCCATGTCATGGAGCCAATCACCTTCCAAGCTCCCACGCATGCGCTGTAACTCTGGGGACCTGCCCCTCAGTTTTGTCTTGGCGGGGAAGTTACTTCCATTCCCCTGGCTCAGAGCATGGCCACAGCTATTTAACATATCTAGGTAACCAGTCAAAGGCTATAGATATGTTAAATGACCACACCAGAGGTTAGCTGCAAGGTTGTTGCTATTCGGAAACAGCTTTCAATGGCCCTGCTCCATTTGTCCCTTCCCCCAACCCACACCTGGGGGGGGTGGTGAGGACATCCTAAAATCTCCTGGACACCTTGAGTTTTGGACCCCATTCCAAATCCGTATTTGGGCCCCCCTCTTGGCTGCACCCTGTTATAAAAGGGCACACACAGGGTGTGAAAATAATTACCAATATTTGTTGAGGATTTACTATGTCTGAAGCAGGTACTTTACATAATCTCCTTTAATTTTAATCACCAGGTGAATCATTGCTACCACAAAGAAAAGCTGGAATTGAGAGGTAAGGCCTGCTGAACTCCAAAGTCCATGTATCTAGCCAGCATGGGATACTGTCTTTGAAGATCAAATAGGCCAATAAATGAGAAAATAATTTAAACTCTAAAACACTGCACTACAATTGTAAATCATTATCCTTTTTCTAACATAATTCCGTATGTTAAAACAGATCAGATCTTTTTGGAGAGAGAAAATCTGGTTTGGGTACTAGGCGGGAAACGGAACCCCTTTAACCCTTTTTTCATGCTTAAAACGGTTACAGTCCCTTCTCAAAGGGTTGATTACATGATTGAATAAAAAGTTGTATAAACGGCTGACATCGAATAGGCGTTCAATAAATGTTAATCTTTTCAGCAACAGAGGCTTGGGAATGCAGAATTCGATCCCACAATAAGACAAGCCACGAGACCCTGTGGTGCTGTAGAGGTTCCTTTTGAAGCCCTCTTGGTGCCGGCGGTACCGTGGCTAGCCGTTGCCGTTGCCGTTTTCCCGCGCAAGGAACCCGGCGCGCGACTGTGGGTGTGGAAACCCTCCCGCCGGGACTACTTCTCACAACAAGGACCACGCTCAGCCACCTGGCAGGAGGCACCCAATGGTATTAGTCTCAGATGCTAGCCCTATCCGCTTACCCTTTCGGCCTTCCCTAGGCACTAAGTCTTAGACGCGCCACCTATAAAGCTTCTAAGGAAGGGATGCGCTGTTGGGAGCCTGTGCAGCAAGATAGAAGTCATAGCCCCCGCGCAACGTTTGTTAACTTCAGTGGTTGGACCACGTCACGTGACTCAAGCAGGAAGAGAGTTGGTAAGCCTTGTGAGGTCATCACAGCGCGACAACGAGTGCAGTATTGAGCATCCTGGATTCTGTGGATAGTTCGCCCCTGATAACTTCGGGTGCGAGAAATTCCGTAAAATCTTCCTTATTTGCTCCATTTCCGCGCCTCCCCGAGCCTCGACGCTTTGGGCCTTCCCGGTTCGTGTTGCGGGTGGGTAGAGGAAGTGATCAGTCCCTTTGGCGGACTAAGGAGCCGCGCACCGGAGACGCGTGTGGCTCCTCCTTCGCCCGTGACGTAAGATCACGTGACTGGACGGGCCGCCTCGGCCGCCGCCGCCGCTTTGTAAGAGGCACATTGGCAGGTAACGAGCGGCAGCGGTGGCGGCGGCGGCGGCGGCGGGTCCCGAGTGCAGCGAGAACAGCCTTGGTAATTGGCACCCTCTCTCTCTCCTCCCTAGTTCCAGGGCTCTCAGTGCTGCGGAGTGCGCTTTCTAGTGTTGCTTTCAGCTCTTTTCCCTCTAACCCCCTTTTTCCTCCCCCAGCGCCCACCCGTGAGGACCGGGCCGAGCTTCCTTCGCTGGCTTTATGTGTCTTCACTATGCCCAGGCCCGGGCGTCCTCCTTCCTTTCCCCGGCCTGTTGCCACTTGCTTTTTCCTGCCTACCCGGGTCCTAGTCAGTCCGGCCCCACCCAGCCCCAGGGGGGGCCTTCCCCTCCCCGGCCCTCCCCTCCGGTTTTCTGCCCTGGAGGGAGTGGTTTTTTTTTTTCTTTCTCTCCCACCTCGGTCCCTTTTTGACTGTCCCCTGGAGCTCCCGCACTACGCTGACGCTTCTCATCCTGACCACCTTTCCGTTTTCACGCGTGTCGCACACTAGTCCTGGGACTGGACCTCTTAGAGACCGACCAACTTCTTCGCTCTCCAGGCTTTCCCGGCTTACTCGCAGGCATAGTTCAACTCTACTTCTCCTTTTTGTTCTGGAAGGCTTTGGTGTCAGACTTTTGGGATTCAGTTTTCTTAATACTGGTTCCTGTTGGCACTTTGTAAACTAAAGCGCTTTCTGTTATAATACATTTGAAAATGTCACTCTTTCCTTAGTGTATTACATCTTTTTTGTTTTGTGTCTGAATCACTTTCTCACTTGGCTGTCCCACCTTTTCCCCTGGGTTATCAATCTAATTAATTGCTCAGGCTTCTGAAATGCCACTACTGTGGTCCCTTATCCTTGTTCTCTGTAGGAGTTGATCCCATCATTCCTGTTATTTCCTGTTTGACTTAATGCTGTAGATTTCTACCACCTCAGTTGGATTATGTTTGTACTTACAGCCAAGGTATATGGTCTGCCAGTATTTAGGCTTAACTTTCCTCAGCACCTGTGTCCTAATAATTGAGAGCCTTTTAAGGTCTCCAGAACATACCCAAAGATCATCTTTTATTTGAAGGGCATATAACATTTTAAGTGAACACAGTTTATTTATTTATTTATTTATTTATTTATTTATTTACTTTTAGAGAGAAGGGAAGGGAAGGAGAAAGAGAGGGAGAGAAACATCAATGTGTGGTTGCCTCTCCCATACCCCTTGCTGGGGATCTGGCTTGCAACCCAGGCATGTGCCCTGACTGGAAACCGAACTGGCAACCCTTTGGTTTGCAAGGCCAGTGCTCAATCCACTGAGCTACACCAGCCAGGGCTTCTTTTCTGTTATCATAGTACTTTTTAAGCCAAGATAAATGCAAGTAGTGCGTTCCTCACTTTTTGCCATGAAATGTGCATCCTTTTTAGTGTTTATTAAAAGGTGGTTGCAAGATGGACATAATACCTAAGAGCTTCTTTATCCTAGGAATTAGGTGCCTAGATTGGGATGGTACCTATGTCTTAGGAAAGGAAATAAATTCACTCTTGGGGGTGTCCAACTTGTGGTCTGCGGGCTGCTTGTGGCTCAGGGTGGCTATGAATCTGGCCCAACACAAATTGTAAATTTACTTACAACATTATAAGATTTTTGTGATTACACGTTGCAGTGTATTTAATGTGTGGCCCAAGACAACTCATGATGTGGCCCAGAGATGCCAAAAGGTAGGACCCCCACTGCATGATAGGGTCTTCCAGTACACCAACATAGCTTATTACCATCTTGCCAGGGCACCTCCTTGGCTAGGGCTATCCTCCCATTTGTGTGAAGGCTTCCCTTATCTATCATTAGGCAGAAATGATTTACTTCCCACACTGCTCTTCTGCATGCCTCCAGTGAGTTCCTCCTGATTTTTCCTTATGGCTAGTTCACATGTGTAGTGAGATTTCTCTCCACTGCTGTCCAGCTTGTTCCCCACAGCTCTGATTTCCCCTTTTTGCTTTCTTGTTTCCTCTGATCCTCAATAATTAAACAATTCAGAGAAGAGAGATTTGCATTATGATTGAAATGTGGCTGTAAATGGTGGCATGGGAATGAGGCCATGGGAAAAAAGCTTGTGGTAATTGCCTCTCCTGCCTATTTCCTGTTGCTCTGGACTCTCTCTTTAAATATGGGCTGGACCAGCAGTAGTCACATGGACCTGACTTTAGAACAAGGCTGGAACAATAATAACACCTCTGCTTCCCTTTCCTGGTAACTAAGTGGTGCAGCCTGTGCAGTGCTCACTACAGTGTCTCATGGTATTAGCCTGAGTGACTTATTTTTTGAGAAGAAATAGGAGAACATGAAGAAGAGGTGTAGTTCAATATGCAATGTGTATCGATGGGAATTGGTTAATATCCCTACACCTTTATATACTACAAGTGGAAAGTGTAAACCAGTCTTGAATATTAGAACTGGTCTTAGCTGAAGCTTTCACTTTGTAAGGGTTAGTCTTGACGTGTTGATTCTGTAGTCTTTTTTTAAAAATGTCTTACTCTAAGATTTTAAAAAAGATTTTATTTATTTTAGAGAAAGAGGGAGGGAGAGAAACTTAAATGTGTGGTTTGCCTCTCACCTGCCCCCTACTGGGGACCTTGCCCACAACCCAGGCATGTGCCCTGACTGGGAATCAACCTTCTACCCTTTGCCTTGCAGTTCGGCACTCAATCCACTGAGCCATGCCAGCCAGGGCAAAATTTTTTTTGCTGTTGTTACAGACTTCTGTTTGGTGTAAGTGTATTATGAAGGATTAATATCTGCTCAAAAGAAGCAGTCTGTGTGAATTCACAGACTGATGTTCCTCTGCTCTTAAAAATCCATCTTATTTCTCTTTGTGAGGTAACCTGTAGGTCAGCAAATACAGTTTTTAGTTGTTAATTTGAGTAAATTGAATGTCCTTTAAAAGTTGAGTGTTATAGCACCTGTGGTGTTAACTGATAAGGTGGTGTATCTTGGAAGCAGCTGTTTTTTTTCTTCTCTACCCCCCCCCCCCCAAAAAAAATAAAGAGTAGAACTGTAACTTGAAGGGAGGCAAAAAGAGGGAAGATTTATAAGGAAATACCACCATGTAAACCTGTAGTAGGTTTTGAAATAGTTTTGGTCCAGCTATCTAATAAGTATTTAAGAATAGAATCTTTTTTCTTTTTTGAGTCCAAGAACCAAATTAATCAGTTTTGATTAGTTATAATGCAAACTGCATATGCTTTTTTTTTTTCAGTTTTTTTGACAGTTTTTTTCCTCATCGATCCTACATATCCTGTACTTTCTAACTTGATTTCAGAGAGAGAAGAAGGGAGAGAGAAGAGAGAGAAACATCAGTTTGTTGTTCCACCCATTGATGCATTCCTTGGTTGATGTTTGTATGTGCCCTGACCAGGGATTGAATTTGCAACCTTGGCATATGGGGATCATGCTCTAACCAACTGAGCCACCTGGCCAGGGCTGTCCTGTAATTGTTAAAGAAGTTAAGGTAAATTATTTTAGTTTTGAAATGTCTTTGCATAGGTTTTGAAGACCAGGTCTGTGAATTTCTGGCTGACACAGCATGAGTAGTAGAGTGAGTTTCAATTTTCAGATAACTCATTTTCATGCTGGAGTTAAGAGCTAAATTGAGTTGGAGCCCAGTTGGAATTAATTAATTTTATTTTTTAATTATTTTTTAAATCCTCATCCATGGATATATTTATTGGTTTTTTAGAGAGAGGGAGAAACATCGATTTGTTGTTCTACTTATTTATGTATTCTTTGGTTGATTCTTATACGTGTCCCGGACTGGGGATTGAACCTGCAACCTTAGTGAATCTGGATCATGCTCTGACCAGCTGAAGTACTTGGCCAGAATGTGTGTTCTGTGGAGGGTGAGATTTTTCATTTGATACCAGTGCTTGGCATTGTAAAATCATTAAACAAGAATAAGTGGGCTTAAAAAATAGACAAGTTTAACTGAGATAGTTTAGGAAAAAAATGATCAGCTTTAGGATTGATTGATAAGCCTAACATTAAATAATTTTCCAAACCAAGTCCAATCCCCCCTCCTTTTCTCAAATTAAATAATTAAATTTTCAGTTTAGTGTAAGTTTTTGGGTCAGGTTGGCTGGTACTATTTTGCCTAACAAAATACATGAGGAAAATTTGAAAAAACAAAAAGAAGGTGAAAAAGACTTTATGGTTTAACATTTTATTGTATCCTTGCTCTTTTTTTTTTAAATATAATGTATATACTTTTTAAAATGTTAGAGAAAAGGTTTATGAGGTATAAAAACACATGTGGAGTTTTCAAAAACAAATAAAATGACCAAGAAGTAGAACGTTACAGCTGTCTAAAAGCCCTGTGTATATGCCATCTCTCAAGGTGTTCCTTTCTGCCTTTCCTAGAGGTAACCATTACTCTACATTTTGGGTTTATTATTTTTTAGAATAATTTTTACTTCATATATGTGTATATCCATAAACAATACAGTTTTATTTATCTATTCATTCATTTAGAGAGCCAGGAAGAGGGAGAATGTGGAGAAAGAGGGAGAGAAACATCAATGTGCAACAGAAATGGATCAGTTGCCACTCGCATCCCCTGTCCACCCCCTGGCCACCCCCAACCTGGGACCTGAACCATAACACAGGCATGTTCCCTGAGCGAGTATTGAACTGGCAACCTTTTGGTGTGTGAGACAATGCCCAACCCACTAAGCCACACCAGTCATGGCACAATGTGTAGTTTAGTATTACTTTTTAAATCCTCACCTGAATATATTAATCTATTTTTAAATTTTTTATTTTTTTAGAGAGACAGGCAGACATCGATGTGAGAGAGAAACATTGATCGGCTGCCTCCCCTGTGCACCCAAATTGGGGATCAAAGCTGCAACCTTTTGGTGTAAGGGATGATGCTGCAACCAGCTGAGCCACCTGGCCAGGGCAACAATATATAGTTTTCAGTTATGATCTACATGGAATTTTATGATTCTTCTGATACTTTTTCATTCTTAAATGTTTTAGATTTATCCATGATTCATTCTTAACAGCTGTCATTCACTTT